TAAGGATTAATGACGTTATAATCAACGCGGAAACTAACGTGATAAAATCGTCATGATGAACTAACTGACTAACTTCGTATGTCATTAGTTGATATCTACGTATTTATATAACTTTCTGTATAAAAAAATATATGATTGATTATTCGATTTCACATATTTTTTAAATTGAATACTGAAAATTATTTGGAAACAATCAAAATCGATAATGTTGTCACAGCTCTATCGCCACTTGGTAACACAGGTGTAATACACGTAGCATATAAATATTTCACACGCCAAATCCTAAAGTGGTCAGTCACTAAATCAGTGATAATTACAGCAATAAAAGCGACGCAGCTTTCGAATGTTTGTTGCGACAAATAAGCCCCGCGATATTGGTGCTATAAAACAATTTTTATAGCCGAGTTAGCAATAATACACAGTTACAAAAGTTCAAATTAAGGGCCACAAATAATTGCTCGCCGATCGGTCAGTGGTGCCACCAAATGGTTTCTGCCAGATGGGCTCATAATCGGGGATTTGTGTCAGATCTTTTTTGAAATAACGTTGTTACCATGTGTTAGTCATTTTATAAGAGTTAACTAAGATAACTAACTAACTAACGAGCTAACACTAGTTATTTTTAAACTTTCGTATTTAGTATAGGTACATATTATTTACCGGGTCCCTAAGTCAACGTTATGACTAGGTTGCACTAGCGGTGGTTACGAGCATCAGCTCGTAACCACCGCTAGTGCTATCAAGCAATGTAAAGAGGTAAATAAAATTACTTCAAAAGTTTTAGTTTTTTATCACACTTGAAAAAATGTATATTAAATTCTGTGAACTTTGGTAAGAATCTCACAAGAATGGTTACATAAATTAACCTGTACCTTGTTAGTAACTAAATCTCCGTGGTATAGCAGTAAAGCACACTGCTTTACTTCCAATCTTCACGGATTCGAATCCTCGTACGTAGCAAACATTTGTATTCATGAGTATGATTGTTTGTTAAGGTCTGGGTGTTCTATGTGTATTGCGTTATTTACAAAAAATATATATCTTAGTATTTATATCTGTTATCTAGTACCCATAACACAAGCTTTGCAAGCTAAGTATTATATGACACTGTGTGGGTCATCCAGAATTATTGTTCTTATTAATTTTATTAAACACTACCTGTGCCAGCAGTTTAATTATATGTTAGTCTGATAATCTTTACAGTATATAGCTTATACAGCTATATACTATAAAGTTTCATTCATCAAAATCCGTTTAGTAATTTTTGCGTGAAAGAGTAACAAACATCCATCCATACTCACAAACTTTGTATGAAAAGCTATGAAATGCAGAATGTCATTTGTTTGATGGAGTCTACTAATCTGTGGTTCAAATAAAGACCACAACAGAATTATCTCGAAGCTATATAGTTATAGACTAAGTGCTTTATATTTCTCAATTTTTTATTACCTAATTTGAGCGCTTTCCACCGCAATTTCATCTGAAATTGAATGGACACGTAAGATATGTTACTTAAAATATAAGTACATATATGCACATTAGTACTAATTAAGTCATCACATAAACGACCTCAGTGGTCTAGCAGTCTAGCACACCGCTTTACGATCGATGGTCGCGGGTTCGATTCCTCGCACGGCACAAACATATGCATTCATGAGTATGAGGGTTTGTAAAAAAAATCTATGTATATGTATCAGTTATCTAGTACCCATAACACAAGCTTTAGCTAGCTTAACTGAGGTCTGGCGCTGTGTGAATTGTCCTGTGATTATTATTATTATAGAACCTTTTCTTTCAGCCTTCATTGTAGCTCCTAGTCGTATCTCGTTCAAACAAGTTTACGTTTCAAGAAATAATTTCAGGGCGGGGTGGTGTGTTGACGTAACATACGTTCATACTGTACTTATGTATAAAGCCTCGCCCTGACGATGCTATGTACCCAACCAAACACATTCTTGACAAATAATTACTTATAAAGTTTTACAGACTTCTGTGATTTTTTTTCTAATAAACGAGATATGACTGTTCCATGTAAATGTTAAAAAAAGTACGCCGTAATTTTTACTTTTAAGCAATTACTTTCATTCTACTTTTTAGTTTCTATTTTCTCAAATCGTTTTGTTGCCATATTACATGTTTATTTGCTCTTTTCTATTCATATACTAATATATAACCAATTCTGCAATTAGGAATACAAATTTAAAAAAAACAATCTATTTTCACTTACATTTAGGAACAATATACATATCTACAATACAATGAATAAGGAATCATCAAAATTTCTTATTATACATGACTTTATTTTCCCTTATTACGTTCATTACATATTACATTACATATTTGTTATTATCTTCTTTTCACTTTATTTCATATTACCTACCTGTTCGATAATTAAATCCGTTTCCCTAAGGTTACCTTCAGCAATAAGGCCGCCTTATAGCAATTATACATATGTAACTATTTATATTATTCGTTTCTTTTCATATATATTGCAAATACAGAATATTCTATTTAGCTATGTATCATTTGGAAGCATCGTCACTGCTAGCCTTAACATTCACACTCTGGGCACAGAGCACTTTAAGGGTCTCAGATTTAATAAATGTCTGCGTATGACGGATCGTAATCTCTGGGATACTTGACGGTAGAATGTGGTAAAACTCTCGCATTACGGTTAAGATTATATTTGCGTGAAATTTATGATGTCACATGATTACTATGTAGCAATCGTATTCAATTAAAGAATAGCATCTGGCGTAATATATTATTCTCAATAAGAATAATTAATATTAAAGAAATAGATTTGAAATTTCTAGGTCGTATAACTAGCTGTGCCCGCGATTTGAACCGCATGAAATTTATAGCCTACGTGTTATTGTAATATATATATTATATTACTGTAAAGTTTCATTAAAATCCGTTCAGTAGTTTTTGCGTGAAACAGTAACAAAGACCCATCCATCCATCTGTCCGTCCATACTCACAAATTTTACTTTTGTGATATTAATAAGATATAATAACATAAAGATCAATTATATCAACACCAATATATACTTTATCATCTGATAGTCAATAAACCGTAGTCTGTGGACGCCTGAATCATCAGGCTTATCATTTTCGCGTTGCCGACCCTTACGAAACTTAGAATTTATATTTAAATGCCCTATCGCCGAATCACATTTCATCACATACTATCGTGTCATTCATAAAGCTTGAACTTGGATCCTTCACGCAACGCCATCTAGTTCCAAGCTAAGCAAAGCTTAAGTCAGAACTCTGAAAAAGGGCGAGCACAATATATCTATGTAAGTCGTAGTGCTACAGGTGCTACAAACATCTGATAATAGCCCAAATAACCCAATAAAAAAAACAGAGCGTATATTATGGGTAATAGACAACTCATAAATAATTAGATTTTTTTTTTGTAAATACTAACAATATACGTTAAAACATCCAGTTCGATACATACAATCATACTCATGAATACAAATGTTTGCATCGTGCGAGAAATCGTACCCGCGATCACCGGAAATAAAGCAGTGTGCCAAACCATTAGACCATCATGTATGTTTTTTTATCATTTTATACAAAATTGTGTATGTAACTGTATTTTCTGTGAGAGATCAGTAAAGAGTTTCATTCATTCATTCATTCATACGTATAGTTTTACAAAATGCCACAGATATACAATTTAATTAACAAATGTATATAGTGGCTTTATTGAATTAGTTTATGATTCTTCTTCTAATCACCAAAATTGTTTTAAACGTAGAGTAATAGCAACACATTGCAAACTCTTACGGTTGAGTACACATAGAGCCGGCGGTGAGTACGCCGTGTGAAGCGACTAATTAATTTCGAAGTCAGGTACCTTAGGATATAGGAAAATGACATTCCATTAACCCCTGTGCCCGGGGGTAATTTAATTTGTGTTATAATTTGTGAATTTCAACGAAACACTTCTGTATTCCCTGTAGCGTAGAATCGATTATCGATTCAGAATTTTATGCAGGTACACTTTGTACGAAGTGGTTTGCGTAGATACCTCTGCCTTATCTATTTCAGCCCTAGCAGCTTGCTTTATTAGTTATGGTTTGATGGAAAGATTTTTTTTTATTTCTTTTAAAATATTAGGGACTTACCTACAATCCAAAAGTACCCTAAAAATTGTACCCTAAAACTAATTACTTAATTACCTCACCAGGTTTGAAAGATGAGATAAGGCAGTCAAATTATAGGATATGGATGCATAACCAGAAAACGTGAGGGAAATATTTATTTTTTTATTAAAAATGCCTGTATTAACTTATATTAAAATATGAAGAATATTCCTTCAACTTCTTCGCTATTTTTAATAGATCTCATGCATCACTATTACTATGTTGTTATGATTCCGTATCCTTTCATTGCCCCTCAGGTACGTAGATGAGTGTTAAACAGGAACACAGCATAAAAAGCAAGCTAATTACATCATTATGGACAGACCTAATGGCGCAAGTATCTTTACTGTAAGTAGTAGTTAAATATTATAGTAAACAGATGGACATATGTAGTTGGACATATGGACCAGGAGTAACATAACATTGTGAGTGACGCAACAGGAGTTTATAGCGTTTGTAACCTGTGTCCCCAACAACATGCTATCCATCTTCATGAAGGATCACTGGCCGGGGGCTGAAGGGGTGGTGTATAGGCAATACTGTAGCACATTACCGTGACACAGAGAACATTTATATTTCATTATTATTTCATATAATATGTTACTTTATAATTATCAGTAATTACTAACCTGAATTGAATTTAAATATATAAATTTAAAAATAAGCCATATAATAGTAAGTAGATATATCTCAGAGTAATGCATATAATACTTAAGACATTTTACTTAGACTATTGTAAGTAAGATCTAACTAAATACATTACTTAAACCCTGCGGGAGCTAATGAAATAAGCTGTAATAGAAGGAGAAAGGTCCCCGAGCAATAACAGTTTTAATTACGTTAAAAATTACGTTGCCGGAACTTCACCGTGGGTATCTTGCCAGTCCATTTCGCTTTTATTGTTATGTTTATTTCTTTGTACGTAAATGGGGGTCGCAATTTTTCCTCTAATACAAAATGGTTCTTTTTCAAGTCGCACTGTTTGATTCGAAAATAGAATTAAGACCTGTGAAGGATAAATTCTCTTCAAAAACAGAATTCAACCTTGTTTGTGAAACGGTATAATCGGAAGTTAAAAAATATAATGCAGACTTGTATTTTAGAGAATTTAAAAGGAAATGGAAAGAATACTTGTATGAGAAATGATTAGACTATTATTAATTTAATAATAAATATATTTAATCATATAAATTATCATAAATTTACACAACACGTGGGATAGCTTGAGAGCTCCGAATGGATGAGTGATTGATTGTATTTAATTTTTGCGTTCAAAATTTTTCGCGTGATGTATGAATTTTTAAAATTCATTTTTATGTTACGTAATTCTTATTATCCATATACAATTTTTAGGATCTAATTATAAACAAATCTGTAATTAGGCCGTTTCTTCATAGTTAGAAGTCCGCCATTTTGCAGTGAAAATTAATTTTTACAAAAAGTACTCCCTGTACACTATTGAGCGTATAGCACGCGCGCCTTTGTATACCTTTACCCTTTACATACACACTCTTTCTTGCCTGAAAGAACGTATGTAACGTGAACGTATAAAGGCAGGAAATATCTCAAAACTTCTTTTCAGTTTTCATACTATCTATAACATTTATATAAGTGCTTACCATGCGTTTATTAATTCTATACTTTTGAATAGTAGAATTCATTTTATTTATTTTGTTTTTGTACGGCATAACCAATTTTTTATGAACATTGATACTATTACTTGTAGATCTATTATTACATATGCATACATATAAAAAAAGGATGTATTAGTAAAATTCAATGTTTTTTGTAATCTTTACAAAAATAAGCTACTAATTCGTACATTTAGTATTTCAAAACACCTCAGTCAACAATACTCAATAAATCAACTTTAATATTCAGTCAGACAACCGTAAAAGGCATTATCCGGACCGGCAATTATTGAAAAATTGGATGGTACCAAGAATTTCTAAAAATTGCATTGTATTTTGTATTAAATGTCTATTAAGCAGCCACAATAAAACCAAGTATAGATAATACGATGATAAACACTCCAGAAATATAGTTAATCCCCTTTACCTTCGAATAATCGGGTAATTAAATCCCGAACAACGGTATATAGCGCAGTACATAATTAACATTCCCAACCAAAAGCTCCGTATTTACAATACGGTCCAAGATATATGCGGCAGCGGATGAGAACAAAACTCAGAACTTATAATTGAAAAACACTTTTTTATTAACAATTGTTAATTAATTTTGTAATTTAATGTAAAGTGGAATATTAATATAATAATAATAACATTAATAAACTCTTTTTTGACGAAAGAAGAAGAAAAACAGAATATCTACTTTTAATGCGATGAAATTGATAAGATGTTTTTGTATTGCTGTGGCACACATATGCAGGTTTACCCATATTCTATTGCATTGGTTTAAATATTCCGTAATATTTACTACTTGTTATTAAACGTACATTTTTTTTAATATTCTGTGACGTATACTTGTCCTATATTTGTCTATTAAGATACAAATAAAAATCATATCTATCTATATCGATTGCAATAAATAACATATCTACACGACTGTTATCCCAAATGGGATAATCAGAGGCAGTTTCAGTTATTGACGTTGTGGGGTACACAATTAAAAGGTCTTCGATTTTCTAAATATGTGGACTGTATTTCAATTTGTTTCTTATTCTATGGGTCGGCCGGCCGGAGTGGGGTTTTCTTGGTCGTTGCGCCGGCGGTGGTTCTTCGTCGGTGGCGTATGCGTAAGAGAGCGCGATCGAGAACCAACCCGCCTTTTACGGGCGCCCGAGCGCGTCCTTCCCCACTCCCGCCGAGCTGTGCGCGTCGGCCGTCCCACCCTCCCGACAATTCCTGCACATGTCGGTGACCGACGGGCCGGAACAGCGAATACGCACACATTTAAAATTAAATACAATAGTAACAATACAAAAAACTACAAAAAACCACGTGCGACTAAATGCCACATGTTCAGGCTACACTAAAGCTGTGATCCCTAAGAATTTACACAATGGGCGGACATAGAATTCACAGTATCTATGCCGCTACAAAGGGTATATGGTACAAACAATAGTCTAACCTAAACAATAGTCAAAACACTGGAAAAATACAAATTTATACACAAAATTTATTTACATATTTTCGATGCCGACTCGTGGTCCGCAACAGCCTCCCCCGGCGCAGATCTTCGCAGCCCTTATCCCTAGGGAGGACCACTAGCCTTCGGGTCGGCCTTCGAAAAATTCCCCCTCGCGTCCTCACGTCCGCACTTCGCACCACGCCGTCGGGCCCCTCATAGGTGCGCTCCACTTGCCCGCGCGGCCACAGATTGCGAGGTAGCAGGCCGTCCACTATTAAAACCATGTCGCCCGGCTTGATGTTTGCCGTGCTCCGTCGTACGTCGTCTCTGGGCGTCAGCGTCGGTAGGTATTCTCGTAACCACCGCTGCCAGAATCTATCCGCGAGCGCCTGTGCTGCGCGCCACGTTCTGCGGTCGGCAACGTCGGTGGTACCTACGTACGGTAGGCCGACGGCTGAGCCCATCAGAAAATGGTTGGGGGTCAGCGCCTCTTCGTCCTCGGGTCGCACTGAGACGTGGGTTAAGGGGCGTGAATTGACGGTGTGTTCTGCTTCCGTCATTAGCGTTGCGAGCACCTCTTCTCTCGGCGCCCGCTCGTGCAGTACCACTGCTAGCGCTCTCTTCACGCTCCTTATCAGTCGCTCCCACGCTCCTCCTTGGTTCGGTGCGCCCGGGTCGCTGTACCGCCAGTTTATCCTCTTGTTGCTGACGTACTTTTCCAGTTCAGGGAGCCATTCCTTAAACGCAGTCGTAAGCTCCACGTCGGCTCCGCGAAAGTTCGTTCCGTTGTCCGACATAAAGGTTCGTGGCCAGCCGCGACGCGCTGCCATGCGTCGTATCGCCATTATAGCAGAGTCGGTCGATAACCCCGCTATGAGTTCTATATGCACGGCCCGGGTGACCATACACGTGAATAGGAGCCCCCATCGCTTCTCTCGCCTGCGACCTATCGTCACCCACATAGGCCCGAAACAATCCATACCGCATCTTGAAAACGGCCGGGCGTATGCGTCGAGTCGCTCCTTTGGCAAGTTCCCTTTCACTGGGATGTCGGGGTTCCTCCGGCGTACGGCGCATGTTGTGCATTTGCCTAATACGGTCTTGACGGTCGGCCTTAAACGCAGCATCCACACGTATTGGCGCAGGGTGTTCACCGTCTGTTCTCTGCCGGCATGATGATGTAACTCGTGTTCTCTCTTAATCATCATCTGCGCCAACGGGTGCGCTCCGTCCAGTATGGGTGGATTCTTCATTTCTAGCGGCACCTGTGCTGCGTTTATACGTCCGTTCAAGCGTATTATGCCATCCTTGTAAACGGGATCCAGGCGGAACAGACGACTTGTCCTGTCTACGGTCTTTCCTTCGCGTAGACACCGCGTTTCCTTCGGGAAACTGTCCTGTTGCGCCTGCCGTATTATTAGTTGCTCCGCTTTGGCGAAATGCTCTGTGCCTAGCTTCTGTGCCCGTCGCCTGCATTTATCTGCGAACAGTAGCACTTGCGCCATGGTCCTCCTCACTCGGTCATATGAAGAGAACCGTGCAATGTCGATCACGGGTTCTGTCTCCTCCCGGACGTGTGCTACCATCTCTGCTGGGACGGGCTCGCTCTCATGAGGCCATTCTTGCTCCGGAGCGTACAGAAATGCCGGCCCGACAAACCATCTGTCGGCAGCGGTCATTTGTGTGTATCCCGCGCGGGTCGCGTCGTCGGCTACGTTGTGGGCAGTCGGTACCCAGCGCCACTGTGTCGGTTTCGTCAGTTCGGCGATTTCTGCCAAACGATGAGCCACGTATGGAGTATATCTGACGGTGTCGTTCCTTATCCAGTGTAGCACCGTTTTCGAGTCCGTCCATAGGAAGACTTCGGCCTCGCGACTATGTTCTTTCAATATGTCAGCGGCCAGTCGGGCTCCTATCAGGCTCGCCTGAAGCTCCATCCGGGGTATACTCTGCGCTTTCATGGGCGCTACCCTCGCTTTGGCTGCTACCAGGACGACGTTAACGCTACGATCCTCGCGTTCCGTCCTCCAATACGCGGCTGTGGCATATGCCTGTTCGCTTGCGTCCGTGAATACGTGCAGTTGCGACCGTTGGCTGTCGTTCGTGCCATACCATTGCGGCAATCTTAGTTCCTCTATATACGCTAGGTCGTCTCTCCGTTCCTGGAACGTCCGCGCTTCCTCGGCGGGCAGAGGGCCATCCCATTCGACCTTCTGCACCCACAGCGCCTGCAAGATGATTTTTGCCGTGATGGTGTAAGGGCTCAGCAGCCCGAGCGGGTCGAACAATGACATCACCGCTCCTAAGGCTTCCCTTTTCGTCGGTATCCGCGTGCCGTGCTTCACTTCTCGTAGGACGCGTGGCATGCCGGTGTTGAACGCCAGCTGGTCTTCGGCTGACATCCACAATAACCCCAATGTCTTTCCGTATGGATGTGCGTTGGCTCCCAGTTCCTTCGGCGTCCTCGCTCGCTGGTCCTCACTCACATTCTCTAGCAGGCTCGGTCGGTTTGTATTCCAACCCGCCAGCGTGAATCCTATCCCGCCATGAACCTCTACTACCTCTCGTATGGCGCGGGCTGCTTCCTCTTCGGAGTCAAAGCTATCGACCCAGTCGTCCATGTAGTGGTTCCTTGTTATGGCGGTGTACGCTGACGGGTGCGACTCTCGGTGCTCTGCCGCGTTCCTGTCTCGAACGCTGTGTGCGATGAACGGTGAGCTCCTCGCCCCGAAAATCATTGAGGTCATTACGTATTTCTGCGGCGGGTTAATCCTGTCATCTCCTCGCCACAGAAACTGTTGTGCTGCTCTATCTTCTTCCCGTATCTTAATCTGCAGGAACATCTCTCGTATGTCCGCCGTGATAGCTACGGGCCTCTCGCGGAAACGGTATAACACACCGTTAAGCGACCGTAGCATATCTGGCCCATCCAGCAGTACGTCGTTCAAGCACATTCCCTTCGAACGGGCCGCGGCGTCGAATACGAGTCGCAGCTTTCCGGGTTTATTCGGATTCGTCACTCCGAAATGGGGAAGGTACCACGCGCGGTCGTTGTTGAACCGGTCGTCGGTTACTTCCTCGGCGTAACCCTTGTCCAACAACTTGTTTATCTCCGCGGTATACGCCAGCCGGAATTCCGTAGAGCGATCCATCCGCCGCTCTATTCCCCTCAGTCGGCTCGCTGCCATGTCGTAGCTGGGAGGTAGAGCGACGTTATCTCTCTCCCACGGCAATCCTACGACGTATCGCCCATCCACTCTCGTCGCTGTGCGGTTGAATGTGGCGACGGCGCGCTCCTCCTTAGCAATGGGTAATCTCTTCGACGATATACCCAACGCGTCGATGTCGTAATGCGCTTTTATTATGCCCTCTATATGCCGCATGTCTGGCTCGGCGTTGCGCTGTGTCAACCGCACGTGGAGGACATGTTCCTCGTCTTCCACGACACTTCTGGGTACCGTTCCGTGGATGACCCATCCCAGTCGTGTCAGCGACGCTGCGGGTTGATTGTGCCTTCCTGTGAGCAGCTTCCGCGTAACAATCAGATGCCAGTTGTCTGACCCGATCAAGACCTTGGGTCTGGCATCTTCGTAGCACACTTGCTCGCAAGTGAGTTGTCGCAGGTGTCCGTACGCGAGTATTTCCGGGTTCACTCGCTGCGTTCCTAGGGTGAGATCCCGGATCGTACGCGCCCTCACCGAGTGTTCTTCGTCCGTATGGTGTCGCCCTCTGATGATGACATCAGCCACTCGGCTTGAGGCTTCGTGCCAGCTCGAGGCCGCTCCCTGAATTCTCAGAGATCGCGTCGGACCTTCGGCTCCGATCTGTTCTGCGATCTCCGCATCGATGAGTGTAACCGTCGAGCCTTCATCTAGCATCGCGTACGTCTCTACTTCGCATCCCGTCTTGCCTTTCACGATGATGGGACACACCTTTAACAACACTTGGCTGTTCTCTGGCAAGCGTGCTGCGGCTGTAATCGCGGTGTCCTCTTGTCGCTTCGGCGGCTCTTCTGGAGGGTGCAGCAGGGCGTGGTGTGGCTTACGACACTCTCTCACACCACATTTGCGTGCCTTACACTTGAACCTTCTGTGCGTGCTGTTCATGCATTGGAAGCACATCTTATTTGTTTTCGCCCACTCCCATCTGTCCGATAACGACATGTCGTTCAGCTTCTTACACTTCGGCGTTACGTGTGCGGCGCCGCAACAGAGACATTCGGTACTCTGTTCGCTCCTTTCTACGGCGGCGTATACGGCTGCGCCACGATCCGTCATCTGTCGCCGAGGTGCCGACATCGTTGCTTTCGGTATGGGTTGCCTAGTGGGTTGCTTCGTGGGCTGCTTCGTGGGTAGCGCGCTCGTTCGTCTCGTTGGTGATGCTATTCGCAGATGTCGGGTCATGAGATCGGCTTCGCTCATTAAAAACTCTGCCATCTTGATGATCGTAGGTCTAGTGTCCTCCTTGTTTTTTTCAGCGTAGTGACACCAGTGGACCTGTAAGTGAGGGGTCAGCTTCTCTGACACTTCACTCTCAAGCGCGGGATTATGTAGGAATCTCGCCCCCCTGTCGATATCCGCGACGATGGTGGTGATGTTCTGTAGTTTAATGGCGAAGTCAATCACCTCTGTTGTCGATGTTCCTATTACCGGCATCCTTCTCAGATCTTTGAGGGCGCGGTCGATGATGGCCTCTGTCCGGCCGTACCGCTGCTCCAACGTCCTCATGATCTGCGACGGTTCTGTAGCGGATACGAGTAACGCTGCGACTGTCTCTCTCGCTTTTCCACGTAAGCAGGCCCTCAGCCTGGCCAGGTTCTCCGCTGGTGTGATCCTGTACGTCTTTGTAGACTGGTCTACGGCCGCCTTAAACGCTAGCCATTCACTTGCTTCGCCGCTGAAGGTCGGGAGATCTTGGGCTTGCCTCGGCGCTACCCTATCCGCTCGTTCGTCCACAGCTCGTTCAATAGCTTTGGCCAGCCGGGTGAATCCTTCTTGCATCCCGGCTTCAGGAGCGGGGGACCTCCGTCTTTGCTTCGGCGTCCTCGGCGGTGAAGCTTGCCTTTCTGTTGGCTCTTTCTGCGTAGGCGGTGGGGAATTAATTCTCTGCTCCCCCCGTACTTCGGTACGTTGAAACCAATCCGTTATACGTTGCAGGCCGGCACCTTCCTCGGAGCACACGCTATCTCTATCGGTCTCTTCATGTACCGCGGCGACATCGCCTGCCAACTTCTTTCTAATTAAATCAGCCTGTAATTTCGCCATCTGTAGCGCTGCCTCGTACTCCAGCCTCTTTAATTTAGCTATACCGCTAGCGGTAGACCGGCGCGATCGCACCGACGCGGCCCGGGCCGGACGTACATCTGTCGTCGGCGGCTGCGACGGTGGCGCCGGTGCGGAGTCCGAGGTAAACGCGGCGCGGGCGGCTTGTGCCTGTGGCGCGCTCGACGGCGCGGCGGACGCGGACATCTGCGTGGTTTCTGAAGGGGACGCTTCTGTCTGTTCATTTTCCCGCGTGGTCTTTTTCTCTGCTCCCGGGGCTTGGCTTCTCGTAGTCGGCATCGTGTTCTGGCACTTGCAAGCCCCTAACCTACCGGTCCCTACCTACCTAACCGTCCCTAACAATCCCTCAGGATAACACCCGAGGGGATGGACTATGGGGATAGGAGGGTAGGAATTACCCCGCAGTGGTGCGTATGTACAGACGGGGCGCTCAGGGCCGGTTCGGACTTTCCGACCCCTTTGGCAGTGCCTACAGTCCGGCCCCCGCTATACGATACACACGTACAGGCGTAATAGTGCTATTCGGTTGCGCCACGGTAACAAGCAACAACCGGCAGTGACACACCACTCACTGCACCGCTCAATGGCGTTAACCCACACTCCGACCGTTTGACACCGTTAGGTGGTAAGAGATGTGAGCCGCGGACACACCGCTTAGACGTTATCTATCCTATATGGCGTAGACGTTATATATGTAGACGTTATTTATCCTATCCTCGCTGCACCCTCAAGTTTTCACCTTACGACGGCAGCTAAATTCGGTAAGCTGCTAGCGTCGCGCCGTTGGGTGATCTTCCTCGGCGAGGTACGTCGCACCGTTGGGTGATCTTCCGCGGCGATTCGTCGCACCGTTGGGTGATCTTCCACGGCGATTCGTCGCACCGTTGGGTGATCTTCCACGGCGATTCGTCGCACCGTTGGGTGATCTTCGGTCTTGATATGCGGCTGCGATGGACCACAAAATTGTGGGGTACACAATTAAAAGGTCTTCGATTTTCTAAATATGTGGACGGTATTTCAATTTGTTTCTTATTCTATGGGTCGGCCGGCCGGAGTGGGGTTTTCTTGGTCGTTGCGCCGGCGGTGGTTCTTCGTCGGTGGCGTATGCGTAAGAGAGCGCGATCGTTTTTTTTTTTTTTTTTTTCGGACTACTCTAATGCTGTTGGCCGTAGCTGGCCTTTACAGCTTCACCGGACGTTATGGGGCGAGTGCAGATGGCACTCCAAACCCGCGGAAGGACTTATGGAGCGGCTGAAGGCCAACTCCTGCCCGACGGATACGACTTTAGTCTGAGGGCATCACTAGGGGTTCGAACCTCGGCTCAGGCCGTCGTAATTTCGATCCCCGTTTGAATTGGACGGGGGATCGATCGGAGGGGCGCCCGGGGGCGCCGGTGTGGAGCGCCCGAGCGCGCGCAGGCGCCCGGTTGAATGCGCGATATTGTGTGTTTGAGGTCGTCGTCTTCGCCGGCGAGGACGGTGTCGTGTGTGTGTGTAAAAGTGAGGTCGGGGTGGAACGGGTGGGCCCGTGGGGAGGTTACCTGCCGTTATGGGGTCATCGGGGTCAATGAGAACGTGCCTCGGGCGACGTTGTCGCGTATGTCGGATATTACTCCTCGGTGCGTAGTCGACCGCACTGACTATAAGCGGATTAGGGTGGGATTGGGCAGAGTCGAAGTAGCGTCGAGACGCTTCCTTCATAAACTGCTTGATGGAGGGCAGATTAAGATCGCGGTGGAGATCTACGCTGCGAACGAACCACGGCGCACCGGTGGCTCGACGCAGAAACCTATTCTGAATGACCTGCAGTCTGTTGATTAAGCAGTAGGGTATGTGGGCGAATACGGGACTAGCGTAGGTCATGATGGGACGGATGCAAGCCTTGTATAATGTCAGCTTGTTGCGAAGCGACATTTTACTGTGCTTGTTAATAAAAGGATAGAGTCGCCCTAGTATAAAGGCGGCTCGGTCGCGGACACGCTTGATGTGAGGACGAAACGTTAGTTTCCTATCTAGGGTGACGCCGAGATATTTCGTTTTCGAAACCCACGGGATGTTTTGGCCGAATAGTTCGATCGGGTGATTCATAGAGTCGAATTCCCTGCTAAAGTACACTGCTGCACTTTTTTCGGGATTGACTTCTATGCGCCACCGACGGAACCATTCGCCTAGTATCGTTACGGCTTTCTGAAGCCGTCTGGCTATTGTCGCACGGGACTTGGCGGATGTAAAGAGAGCCGTGTCATCGGCAAACAGCGATATTTCGACTTTTAAGTCGGAGAATTTGGGGATGTCGTTGGTGTACAACGAGTAGAGCATCGGAGAGAGGACGGCGCCCTGAGGGACGCCGGCTCGTATGGGGTGCGGGTCGGATAACGCTCCGTTTATACGGTAGCGATAAGAGCGATTCGACAGGAAATCTCGTACAATGAGTACTAGCCTGTCGGGGACACCTAACTGATGAAGCTTGTAAATCAAGCCGTTGTGCCAGACTTTATCGAAAGCCTTAGCCACATCGAAAAATAGGACGCCTGTACCGCCTTTGGGGGACTTGGTGGCGAAGTACAGAGTGTTTTTGTGAATGTGCTCCGTGATGCGGTGCACTTGATGGACGCATGAGTGTTTGGCTCGGAAGCCAAACTGCTCATTGATGAGCAGGCCTTTGGAGTATATAAACTCCTTTAGGCGGGCGAGGAGGATTCGCTCGTACAGCTTGCCTATAGCCTTGAGGAGGCTGATAGGACGATAACTGGACGGGTCGGATTTATTTTTACCGGGCTTGGGGATGCCAATGACCACGGCTTCTTTCCAGCTGTCTGGAAATATAGCGTTGGACAGCGCCGCGTTTTTGTTATTACTCGTCGCTATTTTTAATAGCGACGAGTAATAACAAAAGTTGGGATGGCAGACTTTTGACTAATCTATTCGATATGCCGTCTGAGCCGGGTGATTTTTTGATAGGTAGTTGTTTAACTAGCGTTTTGACCTCATCAAGCGTGACTGGTGAGAGGGATTCTGTGGGCGGGGTGGACGCGATGCGTTCGACTTCGGTGTCTATCTTCTCGAGATGACCTGCCTCGACTGGGAGCGTGCTGGGGGAGCATTGGGCTTCTAAGTTGGACGCTAGACACTCAGCCTTGTCTTCGTCGAAGAAGGCTATAGTGTTGTCGGGTCGGACTAGGAGCGCGATCGAGAACCAACCCGCCTTTTACGGGCGCCCGAGCGCGTCCTTCCCCACTCCCGCCGAGCTGTGCGCGTCGGCCGTCCCACCCTCCCGACAATTCCTGCACATGTCGGTGACCGACGGGCCGGAACAGCGAATACGCACACATTTAAAATTAAATACAATAGTAACAATACAAAAAACTACAAAAAACCACGTGCGACTAAATGCCACATGTTCAGGCTACACTAAAGCTGTGATCCCTAAGAATTTACACAATGGGCGGACATAGAATTCACAGTATCTATGCCGCTACAAAGGGTATATGGTACAAACAATAGTCTAACCTAAACAATAGTCAAAACACTGGAAAAATACAAATTTATACACAAAATTTATTTACATATTTTCGATGCCGACTCGTGGTCCGCAACAGACGTTGTGGTGAACTCAACTTCTGACACACTGACATTACGCTCCGTATATTTTGATCTAACGTGGCAGAGTGACATCCTACCGTCGTCTCTCGAATTATCTAGTATATAATTAGTGTTTTCCTCACCAGAGAGTTAGTTAAAAATATAAATTGACACACAGTTTTTTTGCCAGCCAGATTCGTTTTCAATGTTCTTTTAAAATAATATCTAAAGGGATCTTTAAAGTACTTATTGTAAGTTGATAATATAATATCATAGAACACAATCAATCTGGCTGGGAAAAAAACTGTGTGGAAATATAGAATATTTACCATAGTTTGTGTGGGCAAGCGTTATCGAGAATAATGTTCCACGTACAGACAGCGGAGTATAGAAAATTGAATGTAGTTGAGGACCCATTTTGTTTTCTATGTTCTTTAAAATAGTATATATCTAAAGGAATATTTAAATTCTTAAGGAAGAACGTCTTCAAAATATTTATCAGAGTATTTTCATATTTTTCTCCTCTCGAAGGACCAGTATAACTACCTAATTACTGTTTTTTTACTTAAATTAAAACACCACCAATCATCAACATCACCGAAACTGTATTGAAGACTACTGGCAGCGCCATCTAGCGCCATCCAGCGTAAAAAATTGAATCACTCCCGACAAATGTAATTGAAATTGTAAATAAACTTTCTGTCAAACAAGTGTTATGGTATACTACTGAATGGCGTAAAGGATGTCATAAAATAGTATTCGAGAAATTCTCCCAATAATAACAACATTAATATTATATTGCATTTTATTATAAGTACACTTGTTGTATATATGAAACGGATGAAAATACTTTCGTACAGCCTTTTATACCTATATATGAAGGTGACCTACATATTTCTTTACATTGTTAAGACATAAATAACTTTAATTTAATGGAGAGACGGCAATACAAAAGAAGTAGAATAGCATTGTAAAACTAGAAGGAACGAATGAATACGCTCTCTTCTGTAACTTTACGAAGTCAACAAAGTCAAAGTGAGTGATAAACTCCCAAACGAGTTTTCATCAAGAAACAATCAACATGGAAAACTTTTCACAAGTTATCTACAATTAACAGACGTTACGAAATGTACAAAAGTTAATTCCAGTCCTGAACTTGTTAGGCACTTGATGAATTAACTGGAAATTCCAAAACGGATATTGTTGTTTCAAAATATTAATAATTTCAGGGATCGAGGTTCATTCGCGAAATCGATTGGATGTTACATTAAAAAAAAAATACGTCTCGAATACCTTTATTTACCTATTAACTAGTTGACCCACGCGACTTCGTCTGCGTCACATTTTTACGTTTTACTCGTATGATGTTTTTCGCAGATCCATTCCTATTAGCCACAGCGTGATGAATATGTTGTAAAACAATTTATTACTTGAATAATTTTTTATAGTAATAGTAGAAGAGAATCGTAGACAGTAGGGTGACATATATAAAGTATTTTCTTTCATATTTTGATCAGAGAATATAAAATTAAATTTATTTGTATTGCTTTCATAGGTTCTCCCTTCCTCGATATATGGGCTCCCCAATACTAGAAGAATTTTCAGAATAAGATCAAATCTTGACCTAATAAAACATCTATACCTGAAATTAGTATATGGTAGATTAGCGACCAATACCAACTTTGTACTACATTTTTG